TCACTGTAAGCTGTCGACAAAGGGCTGTAGCTATAGAATTAATAAGTACCCTATCTTATCTCTTTCTGCCCCAACCATTGGTCCAAGTATATCTATTTCTAAGGAAACTCGCATCCTCTAAACCACAATCTAACATTATATCAGAAAAATAGTAATGGCTCGATCATGAGTATTATGACCAATGTGCTCTCCATCATGTGTAACATTAAAGTCTTCCCCAACTAGCCAAGGATCATCCATATCGATGGAGATATGGTGAAGACCCATCCTCAAATCTCTCCTCATAGCAGCATCACATGATGCATAGAATGGAGTCAAATAGGTGGGACAAGCTAGTTTGGGGTCCTCAACTCTAACGTGAAGAAACTGGGTATGATCAACAATAACAGTCACATTAGTCCCCGAATTCTAGAAAAACCAAGTCTTAATCGATTCATTCTGAGTTCCCATGTCAAAGTACATATATCGTCGAATGTATGCAAAACTGTGTTGAAGAACAAAAGGCTCTAGTAAAACTAGAAGGTCAATATGATGAATCCGTATAAGTTTCTTCAAGCGCCTAGAAGTAGCTATACTAGCTTCACCTCTCACATTCCAATTGATTACACTCATGGGGATGGACACAGTGGATAGTGGAAGTAGCTATACTAGTAGAGTGATGACAGTGGACACAGAAGACGAGATTCGGACTCCAGATGTGCTAGCCTCATGCTATCTTCTTTGGTCTCTCTAAACTAGAACCCATATCTTACGAGGCTCTATAATGACCTCCTTTCTCTTTGTTTTATCCTTGGCTACATCCACAGTAGGCTTAGGAGTAGGGTCAACAACATGAGCAGGTGGTGGTATAGGGTGGCAATGCTCATCAGTTTGACCAAAATGTCTGCACCGAAAATAGTAATCAGGCTTCTTCTCATACGATGTATCCAAATCCTATCTGGAAGCTTATATTCTAAATCAATGCATACTCGTGCCTCACTAGGTCATTGTAAATCTGAAGTCGCCTCATCACTATGTAGTAGGACTCCAATGGCCTTAGCTAAGGTAAACAAACTACCCTTTAATCGAAAGTGAACGGGCAATAATTTAATGAAACCCAAATGGGGACAATAGGGGCTCATGCTTAGGGTTAAAACTAGGTGTTCACTTAAAAACTCGCATGAGACAACCATCGATCTACCAGGAGGGCTTAAGAAATAGATGTGATTAATCGTCCTCGTGTGCTAAGTGTATTAAAATTTGAGTGGCATCAATAAGTCCTATCATATAATCATCGCAAAAATAAAATTTTTGAAAACTATCACACACCTTAGTCATGGAAGGCTTGCGATGTGAAAATTTGCCAACAAGTGTAAATTTATATGGTTCAGAATGAAGATCCTCCTCTTCCTCGGTAAATGCAATGGCCGGCTCTCCCATATGCATGAAAGGCTCGTTAGTGGAGAACTTGTAGTCATTGGACTCCTACGGGGCTTGCAAAATGTATGCAAAAGACTTTCGTTGGCTACACTCGGTTTGAGAGAACACTGATTTACCGGAAAGTGTTGTCGCATATGACTTCCTAGCTTGATTAGTTACTGTAGGGACCTCCCGTGGAAAATCTAATGATGGAACTAAGTCCATAAAGAAATTCTCCAAATTCTGGTGAAGTATAACTAGCGTGTGACCACCACGCACCGACCGTTGGGCAGTCGGAATCCGGCGACAATTTTCAAACGGTTTTGGAAAATTCTAATTTTTCACATGTAGATGCAGAATTTCATGTGATCATCACAGTATGGTGCATTTCCAGAAACGTGTTCAGGATTGGTTGAAGTCTTTGATTTTCCGAGCGACTGGATGTAACTTCCAATCATCGGTACCAACACATCCGGTGCTGGAATGGGATGATTTTTCAGATGAAGCTTCTTCTCCTCATGAGCAATCTGATGGTTTTAGCATATGTAGTTGTTGGAGTTTTGTAGAGGATTCAACTGAAAAATTAGAATTTCGTTCCTCAGGATTCGATTTGTCAATTTCGATCGATTCGGATGCAATCTCCACCACCCCTAGGGTTTTTGATCCTTATAGAATCATTGGTGAGGGTCCCAGACCCAGAATCACTATAGAAGATAAAGTTTTGGTGACCTTGGAAAACGTGTCTTCATGGTTCTTATTAGAATCCAATCCAATCGCTTCCAAAACTACTATATCTTGAATTAATTGATGCTCTGGGTTTGTTGGGGGATGAAATTTGGGGTTTGGGGTTTTGGGTTTGGTGTTTAGGGTTTAGGGTTTTTTTTTTTTTTTTTTTAGGGTTTTGGGTTTTGGGTTTAGGGTTTAGGGTTTTTTTTTTTTTTTTTATGGAGGGGATACCTCTACTAGTTTTATTAATATTTCCTCACTTGTGACGGAGGAATACCGTGGTTACATGTAGAGTTATTGAAAGCAATAAATAAGGAAGTACTACTCCCTTTACAAACAGAGCAAATGAGAAAGTACAAATGTAAAGCTGTAAACAAGGAAGTACTACTTCTCTTACCAAATGAACTAATGCAACTAAAGAATAAAAAACTAAATTCTAAAGTTTTTGGGCAATCCATGTTTGTCAATCTGTACGATTGCCCTAATGTGTCAGGGTAGATCAACTAGTCCATCTACCTAATATCGTGGATGATCCCAGCCCTCTGCAACAAGAGCATCTGGAACCTAGTTCTCCTATCAAATGATATGCTAAACAGTATCCCTATCGAAGGATATGATGTCTCTGATCTATCTGAGTATGCTTGTTCACGAAATTTTTCTTTCAACTTAAAATTACCGTAAGTGTAGGTTCGTTAACAAGTAATAAAGTAGAATATAAGTCCTGAGTATCATCCCACAGAGATTGAGTAGTTCAATTTTATATACCTTAGCCTTAACCGAAACAAATTTGTCAAAACAGGAATTTATTCTTAGAAAAACCCTAATTTATGAAAACCCTATTTCATACAAACTTGATTATTGGAATGAACTCAGTCTGCAAAACGATATTTTAACGAATTAAATTGCAAATTAAATGTTTAGAACACAAATTGGTTGTATTCAATGAAAATTAAAAGCACTAGGATCATGAATTCCCATGCAATGATCACTCTTTGGTTCGTCTTTTGGATATTTGTACTTTGGTCCCTGAACTATCACTTTGGTTTGTTTTGGTCCTTTTTGCTTTTTTTCACGTGAATTCCATCAAGTCCATCAGGAAACCCTACAATCCAAGAAATAAGTGAATTTAGGTCACATTTCAAACACTTTGCTCGTGTTTTAGTAATGTTTGTGAGTTATATAAGTGCATAAAAATACACTTATCAAATCCCCCAAACTTGAACTGTTGTTTGTCCTCAAACAAGATAGTGACTTAAATCTCAACAAACATGGCTTAATAACCTGCTGTATCTCAGGATTGGAATTCAGTAATTTACACAGGAAATAGTTTTAATAGTGGGATAATAGAATTTACCTTTACTTGTTGGATGTAAGACTCATTGTGTGTGTGTAAACTCATACCAACATTGCAAGCTCATGATTTGTTCAATCCCGACACCAAAATGGAAATATATCCTTACTTCGCTCGAGAAACACACAACCCCTAAACTTATTCTTTTCACTCAATTATCTCAGGGTTGTGTTTTAAAGTAAAAGGTTTAGGTAACTGTAGTCCTTACCCCCTCTTTGTTTGGATAGATCTCACCATCACAGGTTCGCATGTCAACAAGTGAAGGCTCTCCTAGTTTTGATTGCTTTAACACTCAAGACTAAACTAAGTTACTTGTCTCGCCTCAAAGGTATAAATTCTTCAACCAAATGTCCAAGGGTTTTTCCTTATGTTATTGTCTCTTTTTCTCTCTCTTTCTCTTTTTTATTTATTTTATTTATTTATTATGTCATCTTTTCATTTGCTTTCTATATAACCCTTGTAGCGAGCTTTAGGCCGATGACTCCCAAACCAGTTGGCTTTAGGGCACCAGGTTTTAAACCCTTGTAGGCTTATTCACTCGAGTTATAAAGGCTCAATCAGATGAATTTTTATTGATCTCTTTCCCTCTTACTTTCTATATGACCCTTGTAACAAGCTTTGGGCCGATGACTCCCAAACCAGTTGACTTTAGGGCACCAGATTTTGACATATCCTTAAAGGCTTACTTGCTCGAGTCATAAAGGCTTGGAAAGGTGTCATATTTTCCTAACCTAGATTTATGCCTCTTTATTATTTTTCTCTAGACATTTGGTCTCTAGAATCAACCCCTAATTTAAGACTTTCTCCTAGGTTTTCATCTCACTTGTCTAGGTGATTCACACAACGTAATTTATGCACGGAGCCCCTACTTATCTCAATGTTCCCCTATAATTGTTATGGATCTACATTCATTTATAGTTTAATCTAATCGATGTTTTCTGGTTTCTCCTGCTTTATTCAAATCCCAATCACTCACCTAACATGTATGGCATGAGTGGCGTGCAAATAAAATGTCAAGTACCACATCAACAAGTATCAGTTAATCAAATTCTGCACCGTATTCACAGTTCCTAACACATACTTATTCCAATAATCCATAGTTGTCGGACTCGGCCCGGACATTGACCCGGACAATACAATGGGTCAATAGGTTAGTGGTTCAACCGGTGACCCGGTGGTTCAACCGGCGGGTCAATACCTATCAAATATATTATTAAATATTTTCATTGAACAATAAAATTTTACCATTTTCTACAAATAACTAAATTAACCTCATATCATTTTGTTAACTAAAGATCAATATGTATCCCAAATAGCACAAACTCTAAATCATGTCTAATCAAATATGCATTTAAAACGATTAAAATAACAAAAAAAAAATACTTTATCTAACAAAATTAAACAAGAGAACTTCATATGTTATACGAATATTCTTGCAAAAATAAAACCATCATTTAAAAGTCATTTGTGGATAAAGAACATGTCGACAAATTAAATTATTTGAGATAAATCAATATTTTCTTAATTAAGAAGAGTTGGAGCGCATCCATGCTGGGGTCTCGGACATAAATTCTTCAATTCCTTCGCCTTGTATAAATGACGGAGTCTCGGTCATGCTAAAATCCTCGTTTCCATTGTTTGTATCACTTGTATTTTCATTGCCGTTGCCAAAATTTTCACAATCATCAAGATCAAGATCATCAAAATGTAATTCATCTGGAAAAAAGTTTTAAAATTCAATGTTACATCATATATACTTTCATATGAAGAAGAAACATTAGCATTAATCGAACAATTACCGTCATTTTTGTCACTTTGTATAGTACATTCACCCAATTCACGACGAAATACCTCCAACTCATCTTCTACCAAAGTTGGTGGCTCTTCCTCTAACACCCAATTACCATAGATGCCAATTACCAAAGTCGATAGGATCATAATTTCGACTCTTGAAATAATTCCTGTACAAAGTGTATAATCCATTTTATAAATAATCAAATATTATTCTAGCAGAAGAATGCAAAATCTTAAAATCAAATAAATCACAATATGATGAAAACAATTATTGACATAATATTACCATTGTTGCAATCGTAAATTGTAGTGAACATAAACAAGATCATTAAGTCGTTGATGCTCGAGTCTATCTCTCTTTTTTGAATGAATGTGTTCGAACATACTCCAATTTCTCTCGCATCCTGAAGAACTACATGTTTGACTTAATACTCGAATTGCAAGCGTTTGCAGGTTTGGTGTACTACTACCATAACACATCCACCATTCATCTGTATTAAAAAAATAAAAATAAAATAAATGTACGTTATATAAACTAAAAATTTGAGTTATATAATATAACAAAGTACATAATATGAGGATAAAATTTTACCAGGAGCCATTTTATGACGATCAGCTACAGCAGATAAACGTCCAAAATCACCTTGTGCTTGCCTAAATAGTCTCATTTCACCCGTCAATTTACTTCTTAAATCTGGTTGATCGTAAGCGTATCTCTCAATTACATCTAAAAGTCCCAAAATAGTTTGTTTATGATTTTCCATATCAAGATTATCATATTGAAAAGAAGGATTTAACCAATATCCAGCAGCATGAAGATTCTTACGCAATTGACTATCCCATCGGTTCTGAATAATTTGTAAATAAGGAGCAATTCTATTTTTCCTTCTTTGAAATCTGTGTTCCATCTCACTTTTTGCCACATGAATAGCTTCATACAAGTAGCCCATTGAAGGCTTTTCATCACTATCAACAATGCGTAGAACACGGACAAGGGGCTCAGTAAGTTGCACAATAGTAGCACACTCTTTCCAAAATACTGGATCAAGTACATCATCAACGAATCTTTTTCCTTTACTTTCTTTTGCATATGCTGATAATGTCCACTCTCTAGATGTTACCATTGCTCTTAATGGATCCTTTTGGATCAAAATGCTTTGTAAAGCAATAAAATTGGTGGTAAAACAAGTAGGAGCAGGTCGAAGTATTTCTTTTCCTCCAGTAAACTTTCTCATCAAATGCAATGGGTAGCAATGATTGTATATGTATGTTGTGATTTTTGATGCCTGAGATACGATATTACTAACTTCATCAAGCTTACCAATATCATGAAACATTAGATTAATGCAATGAGCTACACATGGAGACCAAAATAATGTTTGAAACTCTTGTTCCAATAACCTACTAGCGGCAACATAATTTGCAGCGTTGTCTGTCACCATATGGACCACATATTCCGAACCTACAAATAACACAACATCTCGAAATAATTTGTACAACATGTTAGCAGATTTTGATTCATTTGAAGCATCTACGGATTTTAAGAATATTGTTCCTTTTGGACAATAAACTAAAAAATTGATGAGAGTTCTTCTACATTGATCTGTCCAACCGTCTGCCATAATTGTACAACCTGTAGTCTTCCATGTTGAACGATAGCTTTCAACGTAATTCTGTACCTCCTTGACATTTTTAGCCAACAAATAACCTCGAAGACTATGAAAGTTTGGACCTTTATAGCTAGGGCCCATGCTAGCTATGGCATCTATACTTTGTTGATAATACACATAATTTACAGCATTGAAAGGAATACATGAATCAATCATCCACTTCGATAGAGTAAGATCACACTTTTCTATGGCTTCTTTGCTCTGAAGAACGCTTTTGATAGTAGGTTGGTTACCAGGACCTGTTCTTGGCATGAAGTAAGAACCAATTCCATTTTGTTGCTTTAAGTGTTTTATTCCCCTTTCCTTTCTTTCATTTTTCCCAACAACTGTACCCTTTCCTTTAGAATTAGGAGGGAAGATTTCTTGAACATCATCATCATCACCCAAATCTCTATACATTTGCTCTTCTTTTTCCCGATAGTAAGAACTATGTGGGTTACACTCATCAAGAATTTCTTGAGTTTTACACTTCTTTGCAGCAAAGACGTCCAAGTTTTCTTTCATTTTGAATCTAACATCCGGAGGTACTTTACGACATGAATCAACATCACCTTTCATTCCCGCTAAGTGTTGTTTGACTCGATTAATACCACCTCCAGCGAAAGTCTTTCCACAATACAAGCAAACGAGTTTTTTTTTGTTTTTATTTCCATTATTACTAGCTTCTAATATCTCTTTACAATGACCCCATGCAATATCTGTTTTTCCTCTAGCACGAATCTTTAGTGGAGATGAACTATGCGGTGTACTATTGTCACCAGTGAACTATACAAAGGAAAAAAAACTATAAATCGTGCTTGTTCACCATTGAAAAATAATTAACATAGGCAACTCAAGCAATTTCTTATTAACAGCAAGGAAATGCTTGTTCTTGTATCACTTCCATTTTCGTTGCCATCGTTTCTATCACAATCCAGGTCAAGATCATCAAAATGTAATTCTTCTGAAAAGAGTTTTAAATTTGAACGTTACAACACATGTACTTAAAAAAAAGGGAAACATTAAGAAATTGCTTTTTGGTAGAGAAGCATGTGGTATACTATCATCACCATGAATTATATATCCGTCTTTCCTCTAGCAATACTTTTTGGTAGAGAAGAATGTAGTATACTATCATCACCAGTGAACTATACAAAGACACAAACTCATATTGAATTATATATCATTAGGAGAACCACAAACAATGGGAAACATTATGAAATTGCAACACCAAATGATTCAACCGAATATTAAAACTTCTCCATCTCACCTTTCTACTCTCTAACCCTCTATAAATTGTGTGGAGAAAGATAAACTTTCTGATAAATCTGCAAATTCTATTTACAGTCAACTACTCAGAAGCACTACAAATTCTGCACTCATAGCCAAATAAATGCTGCATTTTTAATGACCAATTGTAGGAAATGGACGTGAGAGAAAGACCCGAACAGATATCGAAGCAGACTTACAAAGCTAATCAGCTATAACTGAGTTACTGAATAACAACAATTGATCAACATACGATTAATGGAATTTTACAAAAATAAAATCGAAAAACAAAAATACTAAAACTAGTTAAATACAGAAACTGATGGAGAACTTGAAAGTTGAAACCAGTAGTTATTTGAGAATAATCATCCTCTCGAGTATAAGAACAAAATTTAATTAGAGCTAATATAATTCAATTCTGTAGTTAAGTTAAATTCAGTAGGATGGCTTTTCACTTTCTTCAATTGGTAAATAATATTATCCCTCACAATATATATGCACGAAAATATTTGTCAAATGTCATGACATGAATAATAAGACAAAATCAGAATTAAAAAAAAATTGAGAAGGTACAGTCACAATCTGTACATTGCTACAAACATTGTTTCTACTTTCATTGGTAAAACTTCTACAGAATGTACATAGGTAATTAAAAAAATGTTTGAGAAGGTGCAGTCGCACCAAACTACAAAACGTGATTACTTGGAAACTTCCTGTTTCCAGAAATCAATAAATTTTACTTCCACCTATCTATTTATTTGAGAATAATCGTCCAACCATTTACTGAGTTTCCATAATTTGAGGACAAAAAACTGAAATTTACAAAGAAAATCATAAAATTTAAACTTCTTTTTCTTCCATCTAATAACAACTTGAAATTTGATGCTTTTGGATTTTTGGGAGTGAAATTGATGGTTGCGAAGGACGGCTGCCGGGCTGCTCTGCTTAGGGCTCTCGATTTTGAATTTGAATGAGATTTGAGAATGAGAATTTGGTGTCAGGTTTTAATATATATGGACCGGGCAGTTTCTTTTGTAATTGGGCCAGCGGTCCAATTGAAAGCCGACAGTTCATCAGGGTTTTTCTTGGGGCAGCAACATAGTTAAAATTTGAGCTGATTTAGATCGGACCATGGTCCGATTCAACGGTTTTCGGGTTAGAACCAGCCGATCCGATCCGGGTTTAATAACTATGCAATAATCACATCATTGTCGGCAAGGCTATTAATCCCATGCAAGCATGCAATGAATTTAATATAGCATATTGATCTAATAATCACTCTTCAAGCACACAATATGCATTTACTAGCAGAAAGTATTTATGGACTGTGATCGTTTCAAAATGGATTACATTACACGCCGATAATTTATTTTCCAAAACATGTCACCTTTCAAAATATGCCACCACCCCCCAAACTTATACAGTACATTGCCTTCAATGTGAAAAGTAAAGGTTTCAAAAAGGTATAATTTGAAGGACACGTGCAAATTAGAAACAACAAAATGAGTTAAATAAAACTCCCTTGATCACTGTAGTGGTGGTGACTGATAACTGGGTCCCGCGGTATTGTTGCCCGATAGATGTGGGAAATGAGCCAAGATCTACCTTAGTAGGTCCGACTGCTGGACTTGCTCTAACTTCGCCCTCCATGTTACGCATTCGGTCCCAAGTGTCATTCACCCTTATCTGTATTCTATCCGCTCTGCCCACATATACACTAAGCCGCTCGTTCATAGTTTCCATCTCCCTCCTAGCTGATTGAGCCTCCTGATATGTAGATTACACCATTTGCTTGAGTGGTGCTGATATCACGTCGGGCCGTCTGCATGTCAGTCATTAAAGCCCTTAGGGCTTGCTGGATGCCCTCTATATCGCAGTTGGCTCTTGTGAGAGTTGTAAACATCTGATGTAGTAACTGTGTATTAGCTACCATCGGTGGTGGTGGTGGTGGCTAGGGCATCTTAGCATCATCGGGTCCCTAGCCCTATACGGCCTATTGCTGTCTTCGTCGCTCTCTCTTGTTCATCATGATGTCTTATCCGAGCTTGCTCCTGAGCATTAAATGTAGTACACTTTATTTGAGGGCTCAATTTTTAGGCACCTCGTTTGGTAAGATTGTAACGCCATCAGCCCAGCATATGTCGCTTATAAGGCTGGGGAAGACCAATGTGGTACCCTGATCCCGCCAAGTGCCCAAGGTGTGGATTTAATTTTAGATAAGGGTGGCGAGATTTATTTTGCAACCCCGAACCAGATGATAAATAAAGCCTGATGTTTGATCAGGAAATGTGGTTTTGTGTGATGTGGGCTCAATGTTGTGACACATGAAAAGCCATAGAATGGCTATGGACTGTGTGAGCTCTATCCGATGCTACTCAACAGTCACTAGGGGTCATGCATTTTCCTATCCCAACAAAACCTCAGCTACTTCATTCCAGTTGAATTCGGTGGGGATGGGAACCACATTTTTCATGTTCAGCTAATAATAATCGTGGATAACATTTGGGGAGAACATAATCCATTTCCCTTACACCCATGTCTGATGTATATGCTTTGAACCTGGGGTATCAATTTCACTGTTGAAATTGGCAAAGAACTCTTGGACTACATTTTCATAAACTGGGTGAGGTCTCTCTACCACTTTATCCCAACCAAAAATCTGGACCAGATTCACCAATTCAAATCTTGAGAAATCTTCCAGTTTAACTGGTCTTTCAGGATTCATCATCCAGTGGAGTATGATGTTCTCATATCGAGCCATGGTTTCAGCATTTAAGAACCTCTGTAATCCCTTTTCGAAGTTCTTTTCGGCGGCATCCTACAAAAAAATAAAATTTTCAATGTCAAAACCATAGAATGCAATGAAAAAGGCATGTGAAAAACACGAAAGTCAACTTTTGATGCACGAATCCCCCAAACTTACTCCTAGATGCATGTATAACACATTGGTGTGCAATATTCAAGACATGATGTTCAAGATAGTTGAAATATTGCACCAATAGGAAAAAACTAACAAAATTAGGCCCAAACGTGCACATTATGAAAATTTGACCCATGACCGAGTGCGCACTTTCAAGCCCGGGCATCATCGAGAAATATCAAATTTTCCCAAGCAATCCCTAGGCATATAGAAGTATTCAATGTATTCTAGCACATATTCAAATTGCAAGTAATTCGAATGTCATTTGGGTTATCAAAATATGGGGCAAAGCAGGGGATGTGAGGTGCCATGACTAAACCATTCTTGTGCCTATGCATTGTGGTATTAGGTTTTTCTGGTTTCTAATTCCCTTGTCATGGGTATTCAACACAGTATAGCATACTTTTTATATAGCTACCAAAGTCAAGGATAGATTCACCAAAAGTACACATTAATTCTCATGTAGGCATTTCTACAAACATGTTGTATGCATAATTTAGATTCTTCTCAATTTTAAGGTATTTATGAATACTATTAGTACCTAAAGCGTAAAACAAAACAATTGGACAACTCATCATCTACCTATTCTCGTTCTCTACAATTGCTAAGCAAAATCGAAAATATACTCAACAACCGAACTTAAAAAAGGGAGAGGTAGGAGACATACCTTTTAGGTGGATTGAGTGGTGATGATTGTGTGATGTTCTTGACAAAAATATATGCAACAATTGAGATGGTGTTCAAAATTGTTGTGAGGGGGTGAATTTTCATGCCCTAAAGTGCATGAGATGAGTGAAGGGGAGAGGTTAGGGGATGGAAATGAAGGGCCAAGTTACAGGTTTAAAACTCATCACTGGCTGTACAATGCGGCCACATGGTATTAATCCATGCGGTCACATGGTTTAACAATGACCCCCTTTTGAATTTGCAGTATGTGTCTATACGGTCGCATGGACACTTTATCTATGCGACTGTATAGACTTTTTTTTTAATGCACCAAAAAGATTTGAAAATACATTTGACTTAACCTACATGACTTTTATCAAATATACCTCCTAAAATGTGGTTTTCGATCGGTGGATTGACTCGACTTCTCACACACCCGAAAATTTTTGAAAATATCTAACCAACATGGGGTATGTGCTAGCCCATGGACTTAGTATCCAAAACCAATTTTTGAATTGAATTCAATCCACACTCTGAACAATTTTATGAAAATCGACTGTGTGCCTTAAAATGCCTGAATATAACACCCAATCACCCAATAACCACTTCAATCAGTTTTAACTCATGCTCAATGCCTAAAAACCCATGTGAATAGTGCTTAGCCTCATGCATAGATGATCGATGACTTACTAACTAGAAATGCAAAACGTAAAATTGAAAAATTCCTAAGCTAATGTAGAAAGGAAAATGAAATAAACTAAAAAGGATACAGTGGATTGCCTCTCATTCAGCGCTAGTTTATAGTTCATAGCTCGACTCTTCCACTTTTGCTTCAATTAGGCACTCTGAGTTGAACGATGGACTTTTGCTTGGAGAACTCCTCGCCCCGGTAGTGTTTTAGTCTTTGCCCATTAACTGTGTGGCTTGACTTGTATAGCTTCATATGGTAGAACATTAGTGACAGTGTAAGGGCCCGACCACCTTGATCTTAATTTTCTAGGGAAAAGCTTGAGCCTCGAGTTATATAACAGGACTTTCTACCCCACTTCTAACTCTAGCCTCTG